AGCGATTAAACTGCAAAGCAACTTGTTTGAACTATAAAGTAAGACTCTTACCAATAAGGAATAAAAAGTAGATATTATGGTAATGATATTTAGAAAATTCGCATTTTCTGTTGGTAACAAGATTTTTGATAATTGATTGAAACGGTATAAACCGTCAAAAGCTAAGTCCATACTAAATATCTTTATTTCACTTCCTGTTGGATTTAATCTAATTAGCTCAGCATTAAAACATCATAATTATAATAATAGTGAACGATAACTTATCATGAATCAATACTCCAAATGTTTTCAGACCGTCAACGTAACCATAACTATAAATAATAAGATCTAAAGAACCTTTCGTGAATTCTGCCAACTTTACTATACTTTTGTTTATAGAAGTTGAATTGTTTGGAGGTTTAATTTTGCCGAATAAAAATTCCGTATTTACATCATCTATCTTTGAGAGTATACAAAAGTCCAGTTTTCTTCCGTGATTCTTTCCGTCTAGTATTTGTTTTTCTTTCGAACTTTCAGACTCACCATTTGCCCTTTGTTCCGATGACAAAAAATATAAGCATAGGCCGATATACTGTACTATATAGTGTATTGTAATAATTTTATATAGAACTTACCAGATCAATGTAAAATCATCTTTATTAAAAATTTCTTCAAGAAGTCTATAACAATATCGGTGAACGAAGGTATCTTTGTCCAGTTTCTTATCCTCATCGAAACTCACTGAAGTCAGATACGTAAAACTAAAAAGCAACAGACATACAGTAAATATCAACAACGTACAAAGATGTTCTCAATAATTTAGAACTCACAAATTTTTCGTGACTTCCTGCGCACAATCGAAGATGAATTTATCCTCGTCTGTTGACAGTGTACTCCATTTGGCCCAATTCTCATGCCACTTTGTGTCCAATAACTGTTTGTCGTTTAAAAGCTAATCACAAAATATAATAAATTGATAAATTTGCCAATTATTTGTTAGAAAGTTGATGAAAACTTACCATATTATATTCAATTATTATTAAATGTACGACAGATAACAACATCTTTGGCACTAGGAGTCTTGGACAAATTTTATTCCATACTTTTTCAGAACATGTTACAAATTCCGGTTTGACTTTATTGCAATACATTATAGATGATAAACACCTGCAGGCATATACAAAAATTAGATATTAAAATAGATTTTATTTGTATAAAAAACATTTACAGAATCCGATCCATATCTTTTACGTATAAAAAGGTTAGATTAGTCTCTAAAAGATTTATTGATGCTAATTGAAATTTACGGAAATCAAGAGAAATGTTGTGACCATCTACAACCCACTATAGATGAGAAAGAATTATTACTATATATTAGGAAAAGACTATCATAATGTTGCTCAATACTTACATCATTCCCGGAGATATTGTTTGTATTGATATTATTGATTGCATATTTCCATGATAGAATAATTTTGAACTATATAATTAAGAATTGAATTAATTATTAATTAATAAAAAGATATATTCAGT